AGATATTTATCAGGATAGATTTGCTGAACAGATGTGCATGGTGGAAGCCAGAGCTGTGAAGCAGAAGTGTGAAATTGATCCATTTCCCTGACTGGCCAGTGATATTCCCTGGTTGAACAAATTCAAAGAATAGCTTTTTCTTCTTCTAGGTTCAGTACCTGGTGTGACTGAACTCCTCAACGAGTATGAATTGTTGGACAAATTCAAACTTGATCTACAGCATCTACACAGACACAGAAGTATGTAGTGTGAATGGCAGAACAAGGCCAGACTAGATGTTATGCAAATGCATAGCTCCCAACATCAATGGCTGCTACATGGACAGTTTTCCTTTCCCTGTCAATGTCAGACTTATCAGGACTATTCCTCTTTTAAAGAAGATCATGAGCATAATCCTTTGCTAGATCCCACTGCACAAATGGAATTCAAAGATCAGTACCTGCCATCATGCTTGTGGAACATAATGCTCCACTGTGGAGGTCCATGTCTCTCATAGGGCCTTTATAGAAAGCCAGAAATAATGCAGCTTGAGGCCACTTGAACTGTCCTGGCTCAGTCTTAAGGAATCATGGGAACTGACATTTATTGTGACACCAGAGCTTCCTGACAGAGAATGCTCAATGTCCCAGAAAAAAATACAGTTCCCATGATTCCCTAGCACTGAGCCAGGACAGTTCAAGTGGCCTGAAGCCGCATTATTTCTGGCAGTCTGTAAAGGCCCATACACTCCAGAGGGCAGCTTTCAAGTTCCAAGTGTGTGCTTCCCTGACCATTTCTTTCTGGTCAGTGGGAGGTAACTATATGGACAATGGGGGGGGGACACAGTAAATATGTCTATATGTCTATATGGGACTGTGCTATGTTTACTAGGTAGAATGGATTATTTCACACTATAACAAGGATGAGCAACATAGTTTTTCCAGGCCTCCAAAGGTCCACCAGTGTGCAGGGGGGAGAACCCACAACCCTTTAACATGAGTTTTATTGTTATATATAGCAAGATATGTGAGGAGTGTGTACCTTGTTTTGAACAGAACTAATACTTCTGGAAGACTCCCATAAGCACAAATTATCCCCTCCCCTCCCCCCCAAAAAAAGATGTATGTTTCCTACTCACCTTGCTTTACAGTAAAATGCTTACTTCAAGGAACCAAAGCAGTTTTGCAGCAGGTCATGTACCACCTTGGTGGGTTGGGAAGGCAATGTGGGGCCCCAGCCCCCAAAAGTCATTCACTCCACCCTATGTGGTCATGTACCTGCTAACTGATTCAGTTTCTGTTTAGCACAGTTTGCCTGAATGGAGCAGGAGCAGTGAAGATATAGGAGGAAGGTGTTGGAGCATGTGTGATCTGGGATCAACATGCAGAAGACTTACGCCAGGAAGAGAACGCCACCGAAAAGTCTCTGCTGTGAAGTTCGGTGCAGGCTGCAGAGAAAAAATCCTCCCATGCAGAAGCTGTTGGCAAGTCACAAACTGATGGACTACTGGGTTCTCACAAAGAGGCTTTTATTCTTGAGTACAGCTATATACATCAGTCTGACAAAGTGGTACACCAGGCAATACAACCACACTGAAATCAGGAGAAGGCTAGGATTGGGAAGGGTTGCTATGAAGGAACTGGACAAATGTGAAGATAGTCCATGCCATTGTATTCCCCATCACCAGGTGCGAGTATGAGAGCTGGACAGTGAAAAAAACAGATAGGAAGAAAATCAACTCATTTGAAACATGGTGCTGGGGAAGAGTGCTGAGGATACTGTGGATGGCCAAGAAGAAAAACAAATTGGTCCCTGAACAGATCAGACTGGAACTCTCTCTGGAAGCCAAGATGATTAAACTAAGGCTGTCATGCTTTGGTCACATCATGAGGAAAATGAATCATTAGAAAAGACAATGATGCTGGGAAAGATGGAAGGCAGTAAGTAAAAAGAGAGGAAGACCACATGCCAAATGGTTAGACTTGATCAAGGAAGACATGGGCTTTGGCTTGCAGGACCTGAGCAAAGAAGTTGAGGACTGGGAACTTGGAGATAATCTCATCTACAGGGTTGCTATGAATCAGAGTCAACTCGAGGGCAACTAACAACAATAAAACCTGAATGATGTCTATTATTTCAAAGCCAAGTCTTGATAATCCAATTAATCCCAGGCCTGTAGCAAAAGTGGGTACAGTCGTAGCGGGATTTCTTTGATTTGCATCTGCCCCGCCCCCAGGGTGTAGTGACCTTTTCTTCCCTTTCAGTCATACACATATGACTGAACACATATTCCTTTTACCTACCATACACCATTTTAAACATGTTTGCAACATTGTGGAGAAAATCATGCAGTTCATGTGGTGAATTGTTGCATAGAGACAGCCACCATGTGGAGAGATTTAAAATTACCTTCCTGTGTGTATCTCCTCTAATAAACCTATCTAAAAGTGTACAGACCTGAAAGTTCGCAAAACACTCCAAAAGGAAAGTCCTTAATAGGCATCATTTAATAGACAACTGCCACTGTCCTACTTTCTTTTCAGTAGCTGTAATCTGCTGGCGAGAACTGAGCATTTTATAAAATGCAGTTTTGTCTTCTTTCCTCCCTTTTTGTAAAAAATTGCTTGTCCATTATCTGGTGAGGCTTGAGCTTTGTTGATTCACTTTTCTCCCTGCCTGCCTCACTTTCATGCTTAAAGGGATGTTGATCTATTGATTCCTGTTGGCAGCATCTGGCATAAAGAATGGAGCATATTAAATGCCACGGCACTGGCTTTTCTATGTTCTTGGGCAATTTAACTGTGTGGAAGATGCAGAAACATTGAGAGGAAGTGAGATGGTCAGTAGGTGACACCCCCTCCCCTTCAAGTTCCCTTCCCTTAATCTTCAAGATGTAATCGGCCCTTTCAAGTTTTCACTTTGCTAGTCCCCAGCATGCAGCCAAGAAAGATGACCTCTGAACAGAAGCGGGCAGAACAAAGAAAATTGCAGAGAAGAAAGTAGCAAACCTACTATCCAAGGGAGATTCAAGACATAGCATCATTGCCTGTGAAAGGCACATAACTCATTGCACCAAGCAATTACTGGCCACTGCAGTCCTAATCCTCAGATGGCATCGACTGATAAAGCTGTGTTGACTTGAGAAGATTCCTTCCTTCCTTCCTTCCTTCCTTCCTTCCTTCCTTCCTTCCTTCCTTCCTTCTTTCCTTCCTCCCTCCCTCCCTCCCTCCATCCCTCCCTTCCTTTTTTTCTTCCTTCCCCCATTATAGTTATCCATACTGTGGCTAGCTTGCCAGACTTTAAAAAGAACAGGAAAACTCTCCAGATAGCAAGGTTATCCAAGAGATTTCTGAAAGTGCTAACCAGTTGTGATTCCTTCCTCACAACTGATTGGGAATAGTTGGGAAAACACACTCCCAACAACCTTGTAAACAGATAGATAGATAGATAGATAGATAGATAGATAGATAGATAGATAGATAGATAGTTTTACATTATTGCACCCACATGCCTTGTGCTGAACTGTATGAAAAATAATAATGGGATGATCTTTCTTGGGGTTCTCGGGGCAGCATTCAGCAATGAAAGCCAAGGTCAAGTATAGAAAGCAGGTCCATCCTCAACCCTCATGTTCCAGTTACAGCAGTGGCCTCCCTGATGGATGGCTTATCCCCCTCTAGCTCTTCATAGTCCCATTCATTATAGACTGCCAGAAATAGTGCACATTAAATTGAGGCACTGCCCTGGCTCAGTGCTAGGGAATCATGGAAACTGTATTTTATTGTGGCACCAGAGTTCTCTGACAGAGAAGGCTCAATGTCTCAGAAAAAAATACAGTTCCCATGACTCCCTAGCACTGAGCCAGGACAGTGCCTCAATTTAATATGCACTATTTCTGGCAGTCTGATAAGGCCCTTTAGTCTCTTGTGCATAGTGTGGGGCAAGGAAAGCTAGCTTTTCTGTTTAGGGAATCAGAGTGATGAAGACAGATGCAACTCAGGGGAAAGCAAGATTCACTTCACTGTTCAAAATCCTACTGTTGGGCATATTGAAAATGGCATTGCATAGTTTTAAATTTAACCACACAAAATTGTTAACTGGGGTTGGTTATAGGAAGCACACAACTCACTTGCTACAACAACTTCACTGCTTCCTGTCCATTTCTAGGCATAATTCAAAGTGTTGGTTATGACCTGAAAAGGGCTATAAGCTCATGTCCAGGTTATTTGAAGGACAGTATCCTCCCATCTGAACTTGCCTGTGTTTTGAGATCTTCTAGAGAGGCCCTTCTCTCTGAAACTTATCGCATAACAAATTAAAATGGCTTACCTGGGCTGGCTTAAAATTTAAAACTGGTGGCATCCTGTTTCTATCACAAGGATTCAGCCACTGAAATCACCGCCTAGGTGCAGCCCGGGGCCATCCCTAATCCCAGGGGTGCTCAGTATTTTATTTTTTTTCAAAGCCAGGAGTTTTCCAGCTTAAGGAAATGGCCGCCAGAGCACCCCTGGGAGCAGCGATGGACGCGGGCTGCACCTGGGCTAAATCTTTCTGATAAAATAAGGATGCCGACTGTTGTTGGTGGTGGTGGTGGTGTTCTGAGATCTTTTTTTGAGACCAGCTCAGGTAAGCCGGTTTAACTTGTTATGCGATAGTCTCCTCTGTCTCATCACCTTCATAGCCACAAATGGTGGAAATGTGGGAGGGGGCATGGATGAAATACCCTTCCTGGAGGGGCTAGAATGGCACCCTCCTTGCTATCTTTTTGAAGATTTTTTTAGATTTTTTATTTTTTAGGGGAAACTGGCCTTGTATAAAGTGCTGGATTTTTATTTCTAGTAGTGGTGTTTTATAAATGATTTGTGGTTTTTGGTGCTGTTGTGTGCCTTCAAGTCATTTCTGACCCATGGCAACTCTAAAGTGAATCCATCATGGCAAGATTTGACCAGAGTAGGGTTGTCCTTGCCTTCCTCTGAGGCTGAGAGAGTGTGATTTGCCCAGGGTCACCCAGTGAGTTTTCATGGCCAAGCAAGGATTTGAACCCTGGTCTCCAGAGTTGTAGTCCATCACTCAAACCACTACACCAACTGGTTTTAATTTTCTAGTCATTTAATTGCTTTTTAACTTTTATATACTGTGAATTTTTAACTATGTTGTAAAGCCACCTTGCATGCCAAATTGGGGAGAAAATTGGGCGATAAATACGTATAGCAGCTCCCACCAGCCCTATCTCCAATGGCCCAGAAGCTCTACTCAGCCAGGTGAGGGGAGAATGCTCCAAACATGGCTTGCCATACCTGCTTTGACCTGACCTTACCAGACATGACTCTGCTATACTTTGTTGCTCTAACGTCTTGTCTCAGACTTCCATACCTGCCACTGTGCTGTCCTGCCATAAGTACCATTGTTACAGCCAACTTTTCCTATGAAGATGATCAAAACAGGACAGTGAAATCTATTGGCCCTTTTGCTTAAATTTAATAGGTAACATACTGGTAAAGGTAAAGGTGGTCCCTTGACATGAATGTCTAATCACAACTGACTGTAGGGGGCAGTGCTTATCTCTGTTACTAAGCCAAAGAGCCAGCATTGTCCAAAGACAGTGGTCATGTGGCCAGCATGACTGCACCAAATGCTGTTACCTTTCCACTGAAGTGGTACCTGTTGATCTATTTGCAATTGCATGCTTTCAAACTGCTAGGTTGGCAGAAGCTGGGACTAGTGACAGGAGCTCACTCCATCATGCAGCACCCAAGCCTCGAACTGCCAACCTTCCAATCTTCCAATCATCAGAACTAGCATCTTAGCCACTAAGGGCCTCTGCAGACCAGGCCAAAGGGCTGGCCTAGAGGTAGAGTTGGGTGGGCAGCCACACACCGGCTGCCCTAACCCCATGCCGATAGTGTCCTGATGCCGTGTGCCATTATGCACGGCATGCAGTGTCAGGACGCCCTCCCGGTGCAGCGTTCTGACACGCTGCACCAAAAAAGGCAAGGAAGAGCCGCGCACCAGCTCTTAGGGCAGCCTTTTGCCGCCCCTAAAAGGAGTGGCATTTTGCTGCTCTTTTTGGGCAGCAAAAGGGAGGATCGGGACCATGGGATGGGGTTGCTGCAGCCCCGATCTGCCACTTCCTGGGGCGGCCCAGAGCCGCCCATCTGCACAGGCCCTAAGTCACTACATCCCTTGGTGTGAAAGCAAGGAAGGAAGTAAAAAAGAGGAAGACTGTATTCTAGATGGATAGACTCAATCAGGAAAGCTATGTCCATGACTGTGCAAGACCTGAGTGTGGGTGTTGATAATAGGGTGACTTGGAGGTCTCTCATTCATAGGGTTGCCACAAGTTGGAGTTGACTGATGACAGTTACAGAAACATTAGTTCTAATGATACTTTAGAATGCTCATGTGTAGGCAGACAAGCACATTTCTCATATATTCCTAATGGTGAATGACAGCTTGCTTTTTTTGGGGGGGGGGAGGAATCCTGCTTCATCTCACTGGCTTATAAGAGGTAACCAGCAATGTGTTTCAACATTTCACCATTTGGAAACACATGGAAGTTTGTCAAACACCTAACATTCTTTAAATGACAAGATTGTTGAGACTGTTGGAAGAATAAAAATGCAGATATATCTATATCTATATCTATATCTATATCTATATCTATATCTATATATATATATATATATATATATCCTAAACCTGATAAATCTATAAATACTGGATTGCTCAAGAAGAGAATTAATCAAACCAGTTTCTAGAAAACGTAACATAAGCAGGAGAGACAGGGAGGCATGGATACCATACCACTTGCTGAATTCCCTCAATATAGGCCTAAAGAAAAACCTATTAGGAATCATAGTGAGGTGTAGTGCCATGGGGGCATTTTATACTACATTTTGGCTGTTACATCTTATCTCACAAAAAGTACAAGTAACTTGTACTGGTACAAACTCATCAAGCATTCCATATTCTCATCATTAGAGGCCTCAGTCATATCTTGCATATTTCTTGCATATAGCATTTCTTCGTCCAAAACACACCTGCTGTGAATAACAGAGGCTGATAAATATCATTGTTGGTGGTCTGGACAGATGCAAGCTCACTGGAGTGAGTTACTCATGAAGAACCCTGACTGAGGAGCCAGCCCAATCAACAGTTTTCCAAATAAAATGCAGCTACAACAAGGAATTCTTTATTGTCTGATCCCGTCTGAATTGCCACGTACAATACAACTTCCCGCCAGAAGAAGCAGAATTCTCTTAGTAGGCCTGGAGCCCCCAACAAGCTGCTATGTTAGTGTAAAGGGCTAGAGCAGGGGTAGGCAACCTTTCCCCTTTAAGGGCCGAGGGACTTGAGCTCCCAGAATCCTCAGCCATGTTGGCCAATAGTCCCATGTTGGCCAATAGCTCCTGGGATTCTGGGAGCTGAAGTCCCTCGGCCCTTAAAGGGGAAAGGTTGCCTACCCCTGGTCTAGAGTATCTGATTCAAGACCATTGCTACCTTACTTTGGCCAGAATGTTGTATTGCTCAGCATAATGGTCTGCATGGAGACCTACATCAGGCTAAGCCACATACCTCACTCTGACTTACTGGACAGCCTCTGAAGCCCTCCAGACCCATTATTTTGCACCAGTCTACAAGAACATAGCCAGACACTTCTGCAACCCTACCTGTTCTTCATGAGGCATGGAACAGCTATGCAGAGGGCTCCAGAGGCTGGTCAATAAATTCAGGGAGGCTCTGGGTGCTGCAGAGGGATAGAGAGAGGAAATGTCAATCCCCGCAGTGCCCCACAAAAGGATATATACACAATAAGGGAAATATATACATCCATATGTCCCTAACAGGATGCCAGCCAGTGTGAGACAACTGGATGATGGAATATGATATGTTAAATGTATCAGGCTGCATCTGCACAGCAGAAATAATGTACTTTGACAACATTAACTGCCATGATGCAATGCTATAAAATCTTGGAATGTGTAATTTGTTGTGGCACCAGAATTTTCTCACAGAGAAAGCATAATATCTCACAAAGCTACAAATCCCAGAATTCCATAGCACTGAGCCATGGCAGTGGAACCAGTAGCAAACTACATTAATAGTACAGTACAGATCAGACCCAAGGCATTTTACTGCCTGAGGCAGAGCAGCAAGTGGCACCCTCCACCTTCCCAAGCTAAGGTTCATAGAAACCAAAGCCTGATACAGAGTATTTTGGCACTTGAAGAAGAAAATCCTCCAAGCACATCTCCCCACTCCATGGTTGTAAAAATGCAATGGTAACAAATAAGTAGCTAGCCATATTCTTTCCTTTCATGACAGATGGAATCTGCTGCCTCATTCTGCCTAATGCTTAGATCAGCCCTGGTTTTAAGAATCTTTCCTTAGAGCTAGCAGGAAGCCTCCTTTACTGAATGCCTGTTATGTTCCTGTAGTAAATAAATCAGGGACAAGCAAAAATGGAGGGGACGAAATAGTATAAAAGAAACTACAAAGCTCATGGCTAATACAGGGCTGGATTGGATGATCCTTGGGATCTCATATTCTATGTTTAAAACTGTGCAATTGCAAAGCAATTGTAAAAGGTTTTTAGTTTTGGCTTCACTGGAAAAGATAGCAAAGACTGTTTCAGAGCCAAATAGATAGGGAAAGGAATGTTTGTTGATTAGTAAGATTGATGGTTTGGATTGGAAGTAAAGTTAAGAAACAAAGGGCCTCTGCAGACCAGAGCGTCCAGGACGGCCTGGTCTGGAGCGCCGCGGGGCCATGGCAGCCGCATCGCGGAGCTCCCGCTGTGACCCTAAAAGGAGCGCCAAATTGGAGCTCCTTTTAGAAGTCAGGGAAAGTGCGCCCTAAACGCGTAGGGCGCACTTTCCCTGACTCTTCTGCCACAGTGCGTGAGGACACTGCGGAGGGAGGTTGCCCCGGAAGCGCCGGCCGTGCAGACAGCCGGCAGCTCCGAGGGCAACCTCAGGAAGAGGAAGGAGCGCCGCGTGTGCGGCTGCTCCTCCTCTTCCTGGCCTCGGAGACAGCCCAATTAGCCATCTGCCGAAGCCCTAGAATCATAGAATCATAGAATCATAGAGTTGGAAGAGACCA